CATTGCTGGCTCACAGTCAAGTTTTCCATTCAGTAATATCCCCACATTCTTCTCCACAGGGCTGCTCTCCATCCACTCATCACCCAGCCTGTATTTGTGCTTGGGATTGCCCTGACCCATGTGCAGGACCTTACACTTGGCCTTGTTGAACTTCACAAGGTTTGCATGGTCCCACCTCTCAATCCTGTCCAAGTCCCTCTGGATGGCACAGCCCTTCCCTCCAGTGTATCGACCTCACCACACAGCTTGGTGTTGTTGGCAAACTTGCTGAGGGTGCACTCAATCCCACTGTTTATGTCACCAACAAAGATGTTAAACAGCACCAGTCCCAATACCGGCCCCTGAGGAATATCACTTGTCACTGCTCTCCACTCCAACATTGAACTTTTGACTGCAACAATTTGAGTGCAACCATCCAGCCAATTCCTTATCCACCAAGTAGTCCATCCATCAAATCCATGTCTCTAAATTGGAGACGAGGATGTTTTGCAGGACAGTGTCCAATGCTTTGCACAGGTTCAGGTAGACAAGTCCCAGGTAATTCTGGGACAACGGTGTTGGGAAGCTTCATACGTCACTTGTTTGTAGCAGGTCTCCAAGCTCTTTGTTCAAGTTAATGAACACTGGAAAAACAAATTGATCTGTGATGATTTTGTAATCAGAATGAGAGTTTGAGCAGAAAAATGGGTGGCACTGCTCAAACAATTTGTGTGTGCATTTTTTCTTCTCCATAAGTGCTTTCGTGTAGGATAACTTGAGATTTGGCTTGGGTGAACAGTTCGCTTCTAATTTTGTAGGAGAGAAGAGTCTTACTGGATTCATGACAATACACAGGAGGTAATTCTTCCTTTCCTGTCCTCATCAGACTAATGTTTTAGACATAGAGCTCCACACAGTAAGAACATAGAATATCTTGGCTCCAGCTGTATCTAGAAAATACACTACAGGCCACCTCTGCCTTACATCAAATCTCCTCTTCACCAGACTAGAGAGCGGTTCCCTTTTTGTTCATATGAATCACTTCTCTCAGTCTAAGTAAATTCAGTTTGTCTCTGCTCTGCAATCCTGTTGCTGCTGAGATAAGCAAAGCTAGCCCAGCCACACCATGTCTACTTGAGGAAGGGGGGGTAAACAGAAAGGGGACGAGGGTTGATTAAAGAGAGTGCTCAACAATTCCCATGCTTGGTCATAAAGGCCGTGACAGTTCATTTGAAGGCCACAAAGTACAGTTCTGGGAAGCTGTGTGGTTTTTTTTCTGCTGTGTTTAACTGTTTGTCTTGTATTTAGCCCAGTCACAAAACAGAATATTCTCACCAACTGCTGAAGGTTAGAGTTCTCTGATATCTTTCTGGGATGAACAGAAGTCTTTCTGTCTGACGTCCATGCTTTAGGAGCAATTAAATTAAAGATCAAGGACACACAGACACTCTTGGTTTTCATAGCCTTGCTTAGCCATCCACAGCATGAATAGCAAGTTTTGTGTGTGATTACATCTGCTTCTATGTGGTTCTGAGTGTTTAGCATGAAAAAGGAAAATGATTGGTGCTTTCTGTGAAAAAAAGTACTACTGTCAATTAAAATTAAGGTTATATTTTGCTTTCAGATATATTCACATAGAAGAGCTTTTTTCATCAAGACTCATTTATGATTATACTAATATAAAGAGATGTCAAAGCAGCTGTAAAATCTGTGTCAGGATGTAAAGGCCACTCAAACCATTCAAAGTAAAATCAGATCCCTACAGCAAGCCCCAAATTTGAGCAGCATCATAGAAGTATATTTATTTCTAAGGGTATCTGCAGCCACACCAGAGTTTAAGGCTCTGCGTTGATCCAAACCTGAGGTCTCTTTTAATCTGTGCTATGATCAATGCTGATAACAGACAATTTCATAATCAGGTAGTACAAATCACTTTTAAAATTTTTTTTTAGTACCAAGTTCATGACACACTTGTGAAGCCTTACTGAGATCAGATGAAGACAGCTAGTAAGATGCATGAATGGTAGTTCTGCATTGTCTATGGTTTTATTTCAGGGGTTTTCAAGTCCCCATTAAGACCTCTTTTTCCACTGATCTTGGATAGTTTTATGTCTGATAGAATGATTAAAGCACAGAATTCAGCTAGTACAAGATTAAATGTCCTTAAATGAATAGTAGCAATGATATTATCCATAATATTACCCAGCTCTTCAGGAAATGGTCAGTCTACAGAGCTTGCCCTGGTTATATACGCAATGCAGGTCAGAATTACCAACTTTAAGTCCCATACTTGTTTTTGCTTCTCTCGATAAACCATGACCACAGAGGTTTCATTTTTGTTTGCTTCCTTTGGAGGAAAGGCAGGAGAGAGGTAATGCTTTTGCTCAAGAAGTTAACATGAAGCCACTTCCAACATTTCTAATTTTCAAAGTGAAACATGGACTGTTAAATTACTGCAGCATCAGATCAGACTGATTGAATTTACACATATTTTAGATTGAATGTTTGTTTCACTTGGGGTTACCTATGAGAGATAGAAAAGAGAGAGCAAATTATTTCTGGTTTGTGTGTAAAATCAGAGTTCATAGACTTTGCCTGGTAAACATGGATTTGCAAGGATAGAGTCTTCACTCTACAAAGTATATATAGAGTATATACAAAGTATAGAATAAGTATTTTAGATACTAAAAACATTTTTAAACCAACTTACTAGGTAGTCTTTTTTCCTTAAACATATTTGGGTTTTGCTTCTCATAATAATACAGAACTTGAGCTTACCATCTTCCTTCTGCATTGTGTATGAAAGCAACAGCTTACTTTTCATTATCTCTGTCCTGGAAAGGAATTGTTAAATTGTTGGGGATTTTCTAGGATCTGAGTGAATATTTTGGTAACAGTGTTTCATGTATTGACTGCACTGCAAAAAAAATATTTTTGTTTCTTATTTTAAATTAAAGCATGATGTTGTACAGACATGGTTAGAGGAATGTGTTTGTTGCCCAAGTGTGGGCTTGAAACAAACTGCTTGTGCTTCCTTTTTCCAATGTCTTTGCATTGCTGATGATTTTGACAATCATATTTTTGAATCCTCTCATGTATATCATAAGGTTCTTGGTTGCTAGTGAAGTACAAGAGGAACTGATGGAAAGGCAGATATTGGTGATGAAGGACTCAGGGACACGTGGGAATGTTCTCTCAGCAGGAGGGTCCTGGGGATAGCCAAGCTTTCAAAATGCACTAGTGCAAGAGGGTTTAACAGGAGAAAGTGAACATGCTCATCAAGCAAGAGCGATGAGTAGCGCATAATTTTCATTTGGGTTGGCAGGTTTCAGAAGTTCTACTAGGATGATGGGTTTTAGGGTGGAGGTGCTTTGAGACCAATCAGCTATGAAGTCCCTAAACAGAGAGTTCAAACATGCTGGGAATACTGGAAATAACTTTCTAAATCGTTGTAGTCTGGCCGATTTATTTGATCGACTGAAGCTTCTCTGTTGCTGAATCAGAAGAGGAGTTTGCATAGTGCTTGGTTCAGATCGTATCCTCAGCTAGATTTTGAGTGAGTTTGGTAACCCTGGACTGATTAAGGGTAGTATTACTTCCCAAACAGGGAGTTAATGTTTTTTTAAGCACGGTTTAAAAGGGCTCTGATACTTCAAAGTCCTTTGCCTACTGGGCAGGCAATGTAAAGGTTGCGAATTGGAGACCATTGCTCTAGAGGTTTATAATTTTCTGTCCCACAGAAGAAACTAAAACTGCACAAGAAGAGACAGCAATTTTTTTGGTGAGGTTGAGTTCAATATTTTTCAACTGTCCTTATTTTTACGAGGTTCACACTCTTTCTTTGCTTGTGCTATGAGAAAAGGTAATAGCAAGTTTGATTTCACTGTGGAGGCTGAAAATTTATAGAAATAACAAGATAAACCTTCCTTGTCCATGACTTTGAGATCCGTGGATGTGAGAGATTATTACATTTGTAACCAAGCTGTTTGAGTGCAACTGGGATGGTGAAAGGCAGAGTTTTCAACATTTAATTATTGATATATGTGCCCATGCAGAGTTTTCACTTTCATCTCTACTTGCCTTCACCCTGAGCAGAGGTATAGATGTGTGTGGTGAGAGGATTATTTTCCTCTGTCAGGTTTTACATCATGAAGAGCACCTTGACCTTGCTTGATGGGTTGCTTCAGTGGATTCCTATTTTTCTTGTGGCTCAGCTTAGTTTTAAGTTAATATTTGTATACACTGACATATGGCATCTGGCTGAGCAGCGTGTACATCCCATCACCCACGTACTGTGTATGACTTTTTCTGTGAGCCAACTACTCTTAAGTGACTAGAACAACTGAAACTACAACTCAGACACCACTAAGTGGAGTAAGTCTTGCAGAGAGCAAATGGTCTAGGGTCACAGGGGCCTTGTAGCTTTGTTTGCAGTAAAACTGAGCATTAACTTTTTTTTCAGAAGAGGCTGGCAGGCAGGAAAAAAGTGCACACTAGTTACATGTTACTTCATTGTGTGTTAAGCTGATGATTAAACAGAATTGAGTAACATTTGTCAATAAATGAGAGTGAAACTTCTGTGTGAGGAAATAAAATTACAAAACTGTCATGAATTAAATCACTGGAAAAATAGCATGAGATGTACATGATTATTTTTAGTTAATTTTCTTAATCTGTGTGCCTTTTCTGAAAGTATGTCTATTACTTAAAATCTCTTAAAAGCATTCAGGCTGACATAGAAATATATTCTCCCTCCCTTCCCCTTCCTTTTCCATGTTTCATTTTTTTGAACTTGAAAGTATTTTGATATCTTGATACAAGGGACTGCAAGTTAAAAACCTACTTTAACAATTTCTGAACTAAATATTGACTTTTTCTCACACTGAGAACTCTCATTGACTTACCCCATACACCAGCCTTGATCTCCAAAGAAGCAACTGGCGGAAACCTTGCATTAAAAAGCACAAAAAGTGTGTGCCACAGGACAATGCAAGTGTGACAGCCATTCCTGTTTTGACTGACTGAAGAAACCCCACAACCTGGAAAGCCAACACATGAACTTATTGACCTTTGTGCCACGATAATTTCTGTACTTATTGAATAGTGGGGATGGGCTGAGGGCTAAGGAGGAGAATTTGGGGGTTGGCCTCAGCCGTGAGGTAAGGTCACATATAAAGCAGCTGCAGCAGATTTGAGAACACTGACGGAGTATATTCCCTGGTGTGCAGCTCAGCGAGTTTGGATCCTGGAAGCATGAGTGGGTGCCCCTTCGCAGGGAACAATTACCTGTGAGTCCCTCATCCTTGGGTTTTGCTTCATAATGTCAGTTCAAATGATATAATGTTAATGTAAAAGATGAAAGCTCAGAGAGGAATTAATGATTATCCACAAATAGACAACTGTAGCTATCACTAAAGGAAAAGAGACTGTGTAAGATCTTGTCTGAGCACTTGTTATTTGACGAACTAGATGCAACGCTACCAGCTGTTAATGCGACAGGAGGTTATTTCAGGTGTATTGTTTTTTTCAAAAGCCTACTTTAGTGGTTCAGTTTCTCAAAACAAAGCATTGTTTGAATTGTAGATGCATCTGTTAGAAAAAAAAGACAGGTACATTCATAGTTCTTCAATTAAATAGTTTATATATTCTTCCTAGATTTAATTTTAACAAGCTATCTTTGGAAGATGAAAAAGATGACAAATCACAAGAAGGGATAAATAAAGCCAGCAAAGGTGGACTTGTCTATGGAGACTACCTACAAGTAAGTTTAAGGATTTCATATTTACTGCCTTGGTCATGCGGAAGGATTGAGCCAGGACCTGTGATAGACGATTCTCACAGCAGTCAGCCAGTCACTAAGACAGGTCTCCAAGTGCCCTTCCTCTATCTGAGCTTTCCAGTGCCCGTCTCAGCTGGGGTGGTGCAGGTGGAGTGTGGGATGGCTTCTTAAACTGCTGGGAAGCTGGATGTTTGGGGGGTTTTGGTGGGGAATTATTTATATTGGTAAACCTAAACTCTAAAGTGGTGCACCACAAAAGGCTTTCTTTGGTCTGACAATCACCACTTGGCAATTTTCCCACGTCAGCAGGCCATGTACAACTTCCCCGAGTTATTGTATGAAAGCGCAGAATATTTGGCTGGAAAAATATATTGCAGAAATCTAAGGGGGGGGGGCTGATGACTAAGGGGAACACAAAAAAAACCTCAAAAAAAACCCTGCAACAACTAGAAGTAGTTAAGAAATAAGTAAAAATAAATTGCCATAAGTAATATAAGAATCCTGCCTTTTTTTTCTTTTTGATGACAGCATGAACTGAAGTGAGCGGAATTACTCTGTGCTTGTGAACAGGAGACTGATTTGTTGATATACTATATAGAATCTCGCAAAGATTTCTTTTAAAACAGCTATGATTAGATTGTAAATTTGACTCAGTAAAAAATTAGTAATGCCGAACTGAAATAACTAGTACAGCCTCAAATCAGAGCCCCTGTGCAAATGCTGTTGCATGATTACACAGAATTCTACTATAGGAACCCTGTTTTCATGGAGCAAAACAGTATAGTTGTAAAATCTGGAAAACATGCTGGATATTTTGTTTTCTCTTCTTTTATATAATTAAAAAGATCCTTAAAATTATTTTCCAAACTTTATTACTTGGGGTATCTAAATGGTTCATTTTAGACAAGATTTTTTTCAAAATTAAAAAGTAAAAGTGATAGCTGAGACCATTTAGTCTATTTGATGCCACCTGGAATATGAGGCCTTTATATATGTATTTTTTTAAAAAATATTATCCTTAAATATTAGTTATACACAGTAGGATTACTGTTTCTAACAGCAGAATTGAGAGCTTTACAGAACAGTCTGATCTTTATTTTTAAGCTGAACAAAATATTGAATGCTCAAGAACTTCAGAGTGAGAAGAAAGGAAAGAAAATCCATGATGAACATCTTTTTATTGTGACACATCAAGGTAAGTGTTTGGGAGGAGTTCAGTGGTGTTCGACTGGCATTTTTGAGACAAGGAGTTACTCATTGCTGAAACAGACAATATACAATTTGTTCTCATTTTAGACACAATCACTACAATTGCTCTGTCTTTTATCTGCATTTATATTTGTATATATCCCTATATCATTTGTAAGGCTGTAATCAACTCTATCCTTGTGAAGCCATAAGTATAACCTTTGGATTTGGTAATCCAAGATTTGGATGGATCTGTTTCTGGAGAAATTAAGGTGGTTAAATTCTTTCCCTGTCTGAGTAATAGGCTGCTATGCAGTTTATTGTAGGCAAATTTTATATGTTGGCTTGTGCCTTCTCTGAAACTTCAATTCAGTTCTAACCATCCAGAGGCTGACTAGAAGCCATCGTTCTGGTTATGTTCTTCCTAACTGGTAGTATCTATATGTTCTGCAGGCACTGGCCTAATGATATTTTCCTGTTATTGACAGGAAAAATGTAGATGACATAAAGACTGTAAGCAGCTCTGGAGTTAGCTTTTATTGGAGTATCAGACGTAGATTTTATCTTTCCTCCTTTTGTAATGAATGTTCTGTACATCAAATATTTGATGTGTAAAACATGCTTAAAAAAATTCTGTCAACATTCTTGACACTAGATTATTTAGTGTAATAGTTTAGGTAACGAACAGCATGTTGTAACAGGTAATACATTCGTGTATCAGCATGTTTTTGCACACCAGCAGTGTAAAAGTAGGCTGTTCACTTCAAATCAAAAGGTAATAATTTTACTTCTTCAATGCTATGAAAAAAAACCAAAGTAATGTTGAAGTTAATTCTAATGATGCCTTTCTTGTTGCAGCTTATGAACTTTGGTTTAAGCAGATTCTGTGGGAAATGGACTCTGTGCGGGTGATCTTTCAAAATGGCCATGTAAGTTTAAAGCAAATATTAATTTTGGGAAAATGCAGCACTTCCTTTTGCCTCCTGCCTTCCAGCCTGATATGTTTGGGTTTACTAAAGCAACATGTGCTCTTTTTTTAATAACAGCATCCAAAAAACCCCAATGAAATTTGGCTGAGTGGCTCTTACATCTTGATAGTACAAACATTTGGTCAGCAAAATCATATTTCCTCCTGAAAACGCCTTTTGCGTAGATCATTCTCCAAGCCCAGTTTGATTGGCCAAAATATTCTCCTACTCTCCTACTAGTACTGAATAACAGCAGAAACGAAACTTGGGAATATTCTACTGCAGAAAAAGCATGCTCAGAGACAGAACTGGACACCAGAGGCCTCACAGGTTCTTTTATGTTGAAAAGTCACTTTTGCATTTGTTCAGTTTTTTTGAAGTCTACATACTATATCCTTCCATCCAATATCTGCTATATGAAAGGAAAACTCTTTTCGGTAGTTGTTTATTATTAAATCCAACAGAAAAGCAACAATCAAAATCACAGTGTACAATTGTATGAGAACTTCTGAAAATTACACATACAACAGGAATGTTTTGAACATCTCTAAACATTTGCCCAAAGCTAACCACACTTCTTAATAATCGATAACAAAAGAAAACTCCTGACCTGATACTACATCCACAGAAAAAGGCTGAATGCATGTAATTTGAAATACCTTGAATAATATCATGAACTTGTATATACAAAGATAATTTGAAACTAGACCAGACTGAAAGAAGGAACCTTTTTATCATAATGTCCAGTGAAAGTGTTCTCTGTTGTCCTCCACATTCGTAATTTTGTTGGCTTTTTCGTTGAACATTATATCAAATTATAACTGATCAAAAATCACTTCTTAAGCAGAATAATTTTTCTTTATTTATTTTTGTGAAAAATGAAACATTGCTTATAATCAGAATTTGAAATGTCAATGTTATGGTTATATACACAGCCAGGTGATTAAGGAAATGGTTATCATCTTTCATTTTTGTAGTTTGATTATTTCCTGGTTGCATGCCCAGGTCTCAGAGAGATGTTTAATCTCATTGAAACTAACGGGAATTTTAGCAGACTCCTCTGCAGACAAAGTGTTCAACTTAGCCAGAAGAGAGCTTCTGTGTTTTCAATTTAATATTTTCTGTTTCCCATCAGATGCAGTTTTCTCTGTTTTCCTCTGCTTGCTAATGTACATCTCTGATGAACAACTTTTTAGATGTGCTCTCTTGCTGATCTCTCAAATTATTCTGCTTCTCAACTTTTAAGTACTTTCCACATCTGCCTTGTTCCTTCATAATAATAGAAATGATTATAGAAGTGATTATAATAGAAATCATAATATAATTATATTATATATCATTCAAGTTATAGTTGTAATCATTGGAAATGATCATGATATAAATTATTTTGGTCTGGAATTTAATATCTGGTCGTGACTTCTATTTCCATCAAAGATATAGAAAAAACCCTACCCCTATATATTTGCCCTAGTTGTATCATCAGTCAGAGAAAAACAGATTTCAATCTTTGAGAATTATCGTTTCAGTTAAAAACGGGCTCTCTATTTAGTATGAGATTCTGCTGCTATGGATTTCACATGGAGAGGACTTGAGAACCATAGTGATGTTCAACAGTGAAAAGACCTGAAAAAGATAGGTAGGATATAAAGAGAACACCATTCTGTCTGTTTATGATATGTATTTTTCCTACAGGTAAGAGATGAAAGGAACATGCTGAAGGTTATCACTCGAATGAACAGAATTTCAATGATTTTGAAATTACTTGTCGAACAGTTCTCAGTTTTGGAAACTATGACTGCATTGGACTTCTTTGATTTCAGGTAAATACTTACTGTTCCTGCACAGTAATCCAGGAGCTGGTAATTCCCATCCTTAGAACTGATTGTGAATTTTGCATGTGCCCTGGCAGCTGGTAGTACGTGCATCATTCAGCAAGGTGAGAGCATACCTTAGAGAGGCAACCCTGATATTAGAGTGCAAGGGTCAGTTAAGAAGTTGAGCATGAGTCCAGCATGTTCTGCAAAGAAGTACAAGTTAATTGTTGATGTTTATGTGTGGTGCTGCTGGATGGTTTCAGAGTAAAAAGTTAAAACAATAGAAATAGCTCACCGTTCGGTTAACAATTTACTTGAAACTTACCACTGCACAGTTGCAGCTGCATTCTGTGGCAAATGAGAGAAGTGCTTGGGTGAGAGAAATGCACTTTCCGTAGATTATCAAACCGATATTTCAGCTGTCTTGGTTTGCCTAGTGCTTCCTTGCTTTGTGTTTTCCGTGGGTCTGCAGCGCTGGGGGCTTCAAGTGGCTGAAGGAAGCATTACTGTCTCTTCTTTTTCCCCAATACCTTCTGTTCTCCACTAGCTGCCCAATGTATTGCTGGGCTGGGTGGCTGGTAGCACTTCTGCCTTCTGCCCAGGCTTTCTTTGGGATCCCTTGGCTTGCCTCACTTCTCCCATGGCATTTCTGTTTCTTCCCTCACTTCAGGTAGGTCCTTCCACTACACTACCATGTGTGAAAGCTTCATCCACTGTCTCCCTTCCTGTTCTTGTTCTGGTTGTGTCATGACCTGTCTGGCTTGTGACCTCAGTGCCGTCTAGCATCCACTTCTGCATTGTTTTAGTAGCCTTTCTTTTCTATCCTTTAATGTTCCCTAATTAAAAAGCACATGAAACTACAGGTTTGCTTCTCTTGGAAGTCTGAAACATCTGTATCATCTAGCGTTATACTAAAGCAGAGGAAACCCATCTGTTTTGACGCATTCTTGATTCTGCTTTTTAATAATATACTCTCATTTGATAAGCAAAAATAAAATCAAATCAATGGTCTGTTTCTGCCAAATCTTATATTTGCAATTCAAAGTGCATTAGAATTATCTAGAAATCTGGGATTTCAGATTACTTTTATTAATATTTTTTTTCAGCATGGTCACGTTTTTTAACTCTGAAAGAATCCCATTATTGAATCTCTCAAATGAAACCCACTGAATGGTTTTCTGAATATTATTCTATTGTATACATAGCAATTATTCTGTATAACAAGCCTCTTTAAAACACATTAATTGGCAGTTTAATAATGTGGAAATTTTTGTCATAGCTATTTGGGGTGAAGCTGCTTATTCTGTCTGGAAAGGAAAGGATATTCACTGACATTTCCTCCTGTACATCACACAGACAAAGCTGCAATTTTAAAACACAGTACAAACATAAGTGTGTGTCTGTATCTGTGTATATACCAACAATATATAGCTGGAAAATTAAATGTTATAGATACATAGTAGTTGCATTAAAATAGCTTGTTTTTCTTAATTGCAATCATATAAAAATGCTGATACCTATTTGATATCTTCAACTGTGAAAATATGTATTTTTTCTATTTTATGGAGAACCCCATCACTGTAAAATAATATCCTGCATTTTTATATCTTCTTTTCTTGTGTTCCCAAAGATACTACCTAAGCCCAGCCTCAGGTTTTCAAAGCCTTCAGTTTCGCTTGCTAGAGAACAAAATTGGTGTTCCCCAAAGTCTGAGAGTCCCCTATAACAGAAGGCATTATCGTGATAACTTCAAGGGACAGGATTATGAACTACTGCTTAAATCAGAGCAAGAACCAACGCTACTGCAACTCGTGGAGGTAATAATGCTTCACTCTCCTCCATAGTGACAAACTCTTCTTCTTTGGGAGAAACAAGCATGCTGACAATTTCCAGTCAGTTGTGTTTTGGATTCTTACCAAATTTTGTATGAGAGAGAGTTAGTCATTAGTAAATCAACTGATTTTTTTCACAGCTTTGCCTTGTCTGAAAAGTCTGACTGTTAAACTAGTAAATTGCATTGCGGAAGTATGAGTCTAGAATATAAATGTACTGTTTCATTCACATTGTTTTTCATGATTATAAACCCTTTTTAGAAGAAAAAAAATATTTCCACTGTTAGTGATGGCTATTAGAGAGGTTAAATAAAGAAAAGGAAAAATGACAACACAAAATGGAAAGGAGAAAAGATGTTTAACAAAGGTTTCATTATCACTTTACTTGATATAATGACTCTGTCTCAGAGTTATGAATGACTCACGGTAATTTCTTTAACTCCCTTGTCGTTTTTGTACACAAAATTAACATAACTTTCTAAAGAATAATGCAGTATAAACCTCAATAAAAGCATCCATTCTGATTAGCCCTATCCATTTGTCTAATGACACCTGATACAGTGTTAAAGAATTTTCTCTAGCTTTTCTTCATTTAAGACTTAAAGCTCTTGTATCTTTCAGATGAGAAGGAGATAAATTAAGTGATCTCTAAAGGGAGTTTGACCATAAAGATTAGTATTTTTTTCCTCTCCTAATTTAATTTCCATTATTACAAGGAAATCAGGGAGAAAGCTTTGCTAACTGCCAAGGAAATTTCTGTCTTGTATCATCACATATTGTGGTGTAAGTTAATGACAGACTGGTTGATCAGTATTCAGCTTGTCTGACATGAGAAAAACTGGTCCTGTATCTTCTGGGATTTATCTTTACAATTATCCTATATATATGGAATAAGATTTCTTTCCTGTATCTGCAAGGGAGCTGGTTTTAAAGATACTCTTAGAATGAGAAAGATTTTGTCTTCCAACACTGGTCATTTAACATGGAACCTGTGGGTGTGTTTGCACAGCACCATTATGCAGGTATAAATCATCTACATGGACATGCTCACTCCAGCAATAAGCACCTCTACAGAATATTAAACCAGAACAACTGGTAGCAGTGTAATTTATGTTGCTATAACCTGTAATTCTAGAGTAACGCACTTGCATGGTTAATGTTTGAACACATTATCATTATTATTAAAGGCATGGCTGGAAAGAACTCCGGGACTCGAGGCAGAAGGATTTGATTTCTGGGGACAATTTGAAGTGAATGTTTTAAAAGGTCTAGAAGAGGAATTCGCCTTGGTGCAGGTACACAGTGATCTAGCTATAAGCAAAGACAGCTGGAAAAATGACATTCTGACAGGAATTTGACTTTTAGTCCACTCACAGTTTCTCTCTCACTTCATTTAATCTTCAGCAGCCTCTGTCTGCAAGAAGCAGAAAAAATTGCAAATTTTTCAGGAAACCTGGATAACTTTGTAATTTGACATCTAAGATGGTTTAAAGCATGTGATACATGGATGATTTTGATTGTGAAAGGCGAGGGATAGTATCAATGGAATGGTTGAACTTGAATTTATTGAAACTGCAACTTCCCCTTTAGTTAGTACATGCATCCACAGTTCAGAGTAAACACAGTGTTTAGGCCCCTGAGCTGCGGAATACGGAGTGTCACTACAAACAGCCCATTTCGATTTAACGGTATGTGGTAATCTGCTGCTATGTGATCATTTGAATTGCACTGGAAAATAAACACAAGCAAATCCCTGAATATTGTAAGACCTGTAGCTTTAAGCACATTTTTAATGGAAAAAACACCGTAAGAATTAATCAATTTCCTGAAATATCTGTTTACAACTTTCTCACTTATCTAAACCTTTTTATTTATACCCGTAGCTGTGCAAGGATGTCTTTTCCTTGAAAAGAAATAATAAAATAATCAGACTTCAAACAAAGTCTAAGTGGTTTCAAGGCCTCTAGACCAAAAGAAAAGTGATAAGCTGCCAGTTTGTTTGAACATTCATTCATCTGAATTGTGTTGACAGCTATTTAATTGTACATTTTGTGGTAATTGTGTTTTTTTAAAGGACAATGACTCATCTATCTTGTATGAAAAAACAGTTCTTATATTTAAGAAGTAAACTTACAGAGTATTTATGATGAAAATAGAAGTTATATCGCTGGTCATTCAAGTGCTTCATTTTCCCTATTGAATTCTAAAACAGTTTTTGTTTTAAATATCAAAGGCCAAACCAGAATCAGAAGAAAAAGATGACTTATTATCTGAATTCCAAAAACAGAAAGATGTATTACTTTCATTGTTTGATGAAAAACGCCATGAACACCTGCTTAGTAAAGGTACGTTGTATTTATATATGTCAATATGCACTTTTAATTTTTTATACAAGATATATATAATCACATAATAGCATTAAATTTGCAGAAGAATCAGTAACAAACTAAGGACACTTGTATTTTGCAGGAGAAAGACGACTGTCTTACAAAGCACTGAAGGGTGCCTTAATGATCTATTTCTACAGGTAATGTTAGAACATATACCTTCAATGATTACTGGCAAAAGGAAAGGTGAAGGTTAGGGACAGCAGCAGAGTTTATTTAGGCTAGCATATGCCTTGGAATGTAATGTAGTCCAATCCTCCACAAAACCCCAGATTAGTTAGATCCAACTGAAGGTCAGATTGGGCTGCTCAGGGCTATGTCCAGTTGAGTTTTGAACATTTTCAAGGATGGAGGTTACAAGGCCTATCTAGACAGCTGGTTTGTGTCTGACCAGATGCTGCTCATCAGATTGAAACTAGCAAATGCCTTGTTCGAATTGTTCAACTAAGTGTCCTAGAAAGATTAGAGTATTTTTCCAAGTATGAGGGAAAAGGCACAGGTTGAGACTTACATGGCAGAAGCATTTGTCAGAATATCTACTGACTTTTCCGTAGTAATTTAGGAAAAATATATGCTAAGTCACTATTATGCATTGTTGAAGCGCTGCTTTGAAAAATACAAAATATCGTAAGAGGTCTCATTGTCTTCTCTTTCATTTTCCAAGGGAGGAGCCTCGTTTTCAGGTTCCCTTCCAGCTTCTTACCTCCCTTATGGATATTGATGTCCTCATGACCAAATGGAGGTGTAAGTTTCACTTTTTGACAGTTACACTCCCTGCTTGAGATGCAAGTAAATTGTTGTTTCACCCTCTTTTAGATAAGTTATACCAGAGTTTTAGAACTGAGCTTCTGAGTTCATCCTTTAGGAATGCCTTTTTTAAATTTGTAGTTTGGCCAAGATGAACAGCTTCTTCGGTGATCATTAGATATGTAGGTATAGCTATCACTTCTATGACATGCTTTAAGTTAGGTGAACAATTTTATTTAAGGGACAGGTATATATTTTCCAATGTCTCCCAAAATGCCATCATGACGTCTTCATATGCAAACATTCCTTCTGCTCTATTAGGAGTTAATTCTGAATTCACAGAGCATAATAATGTATAATTAGTGTGTTCGTACTGTATTAACAATAATTTTGTATTAGTTGACTGAAGAGTAGCATAATTAACTCCTGCATTGCTGAAGACCTAGTAGCTCTGCATCTCTGCAGGGATCTCTGTGTGATCTTTAATGTTTCAGCAATGCACCTTGATGTGACGCTTTGGTTATATCTTAACACTGAACATATGCCCTGTCCTTTTGTATTCCTTAGATAACCACGTCTGCATGGTGCACAGAATGATTGGCAGCAAGGCTGGCACCGGAGGCTCATCAGGCTACCAGTATTTGCGCTCAACAGTGAGGCAAGAATAATGTGTTGACCCCACTACCTGCAATAATGCAGTTCACAGATACTCTAATGCCAGGAGACAGATTTCAGACAGCTCATCAGAAGCCAGAGGGCTGTTGTTTCTCTCTTGAGATTCTGTCATTTCCTCCTGGCTGTTGTACATTCACTTAACAATTGGGTTGACGTATATAAATTCCAAGCCTTTTGGGGCAAAAAGAACTCCTTTTGATCTGTCATGCAAAGTGCCACATAATATTGCCAAAGGATCTAGCAATAAAGTTAATCCTGCATTGTTTAGTTTGTGTGCAAGCTAGCCCAAGTTAATGAGGTGATACACGCTGGAAGTGACTCCCAGCTACTGTGCAGCTGAGGACAGTTTCTTTATTCCTTAACATGACCTCTAACTGTACAACCTAAACTACTTCAATTTAGGATTGAATATATTCTTAAAGCTGATAGTAACTAATACTCTCAGGCTGCACAGGCAGCAATCAGAAACGTTTCTTTCTGCTGGATGAAGCAGAATCCTTAAAAGGGATATTTGGGGCCTGAGCACTCTCTGAATGGGTAGAACTTTTTTTTACACGAAATCTGAGGATTCAGCCAGTTAGACAATTCACGCCTTTTAGCTGTAACTCTCCTTCAGTCCTGAACAACATTATGTCAAAAAAGCACAAGGATATTTAGAACATCTTCCTCTAAGAGGACCTGCTTTGAGGTTTGTTTTCAAAGAGGTAGCTGGTGAATGCCATGTATGGCTGTGGGCAACTATTCCCATCACAACCATTGTTAACAGAGGGGGGGAACAAAAAGCCACAGATTGAATTCCAAGATTAAAGGTTCACTGTCTTTTTCAGCAAGCCTTCTCACACTTCCTTAATTTCAGGTTAACATTCTTCCTAGATAAATTCTACTTGCTATCTACAAGAGTGGAGGTCTGGAGATTATAGCCCACATGTTCTGCATTTTCAGAAGATAGATGTGACTATAGCAACCATATTTCCATTTTGAGTCTAATCTGCTAATGCCCTAGAAACAGTTAGGATTAGATTTTTACTCTGGAATATTCAGGAGGAGGGTTAGTGCAGAAAGCTTATTAAATAAATAAGAGAGACCAAACAGTTCCTGAGGATTTTGAAATTATGGCCTTCTATGCCAATACCACAGTATTAACTGTTCTGATTGTCTTTTTCAGTGACAGGTACAAGGTGTTTGTGGATCTGTTCAATCTTTCGACCTTTCTAGTGCCAAGACACTGGATACCAAAGATGAACCCAACCATTCATAAATTCCTTTACACAGCAGAATACTGCGACAGCTCCTATTTTAGCAGTGATGACTCTGACTAGCCTGACTTTCTAGACTGGTTGCTGTAAAGAACTGCAGGACTTTCACCTCAAGCAGTGCTGTCCCTACGATATAACAGCTATTCTCAGAGTGTGGGTGTGTAAATATGTATTTTTTTATATATATATATATATATATATATATATATATGACAGCTGTGTGAATAGTATGATCACCTTGTGGAAGAAATTTAATTGTTTGTAGAAAAAATAATCTATACTGAGTTAGCCTATACTAAGACTAAAATGATACCCCAATTCAATTCAACTCTTAGCTGGCTTCTTCAAACCTACACCTAGAGAGAGGGAGCAATTTATACAGAATTATCATGATCATGTCTTATTTGTACATATTTTTGTATTTGTTTGCCTGATGTTCATTATTAATTTACTTCTAAGTTGAGGACGTTATTGGTCTCATCACCTTCAGAAGAATATTAGTTTCTGAGCTCTAGTGGAATTTCAAAGAAATTTTGGGTTAAGATAGAACTAAAAAACTAAGTCCTCAATCTATAGAAACCCAACTGTCTTGAACTTCCACATATATCAAGAATCATGTTGCTATCTATGTGTTACATGTGAATGTAAATCCCTTAACTTACTGTTAAATAGCAGATACAATACTTACTTTGCACTTTCAATAAAGCAGTATTAAAGCTTATCTTTTGTTAAGTCCTCTAAAGCAAGCATAAAGTTCAAACAACAGTATGACATGCATTTAAAGTCTTTTTTATTTGAAATATTATTGAAATAAGTATAAATTGATATGTAATAAAAGCAAGGCAGATTTCGCCATAGAATATTGATAAAGCTGTGTCATCTTCTCATTAGATGGACTCTCCTTGTCTTTTTAAACACTTCCCTTGGAAACACACATATGCTGTTGGCCTTAATTTCTGGCGAGTTGCTCTGTATCTTAGCACTTTGGGTACTCATGCCTGGTAGTACCACCTCAAGAACACTGGTGGAACATCTGAGTTTGATACTTCTACAACAACAGGCCAGTTAGGAACTTTGGCTATTGTTTTCCAGTTACGGAAGAGTGCTATTTGTGGTTTGTAAACTGCCAAGGAAAGACCATTCCGCAGAAGACTATAAGCCTACAGAATGCTTCCCCTTTTGGTGATCTAAAGTTTTCAGCCAGTAAATTCAGGAAGTAGCAAAACATTACACTCAGTCTTCCTTTCATTTAAAATATTAATGCTTAAATAGAAGGACTAAAATGGCAATACTTGCAATAGACAATTATGAACACTCATTGCATTTGTCATAAAAAGGTTAACACACACTGATCTATTAACATCGTAAAGTAATTGTGAAAATTGCATAATTGCTTCATAGTAGTGCTTCATAAAAGACACAGGTAAAGCATTCCATATGAAGATTCAGAGTATTTTAGAATTACAACTTTGGTTGTAAATTCTAGTTACATTTGCCTGCAACTGCAGTTTTACAGGTCAGCAAAGCCAAAGCCCTTTTTTTGATTCCCAGAAAGTCCTACCTATGAATTCAATTAACGTAGGGAAATTTAACACCCACTCTACTTGGAATATTCTGTGATTGCTGATTTTCTGAAGCTGGCAAATAGGTATTATCAAAAGCCACCCTCACAACTTTTTCTATAATAAATAAGGTTTTAATTTGAAACTGGCTTCACTGTTAGTCATGAAGTCGAGAAGAGAGAAGGTATGGAACTGATACAGTTCTCGAAGCACAGAAAGTCTGATTTGCAAACACATACATTCTGCCAGGACACAGGATGTTAAACCTCCAGAACTGCCTCTGTTTATCTAAATACAGTTATTTCTTACTTTTCTATCCACCTAACAAATGAAGGCAGAAGACTGTGATATTCCAGGCACTTTCCAAAACATGCTCTCTGCTCTGAAGAGCTTTGAAGTTATATTTACCCAATAAAAGTCTGAAGACTGAAATTGAAGGACTGCAGCACTTCAGAAACAGGGGGTGCTCAGGAAACAACTTTGACTATCCATTTCCCTCCTTTATTCTTCTAACTTTAGACAAAAAGTAGGATTTCACAAAAAGGAGGAAGACAAAATGTGTGTGTCTGTCAGAGGTACTAGAAAAGCAAAGACAAGCATCAAAGAATAACAGAATATTTTCTTCCAAATGCCCTTCTTCCCTACCCAATAAAAGCAGACCTAATCATGGTTCTTCTTAGTGATTCAATTCTACTCTGTCATACTATTGATTATTTGATCCAAATTCCTTGTCATTTGTCATCACTTCTTTCCTTGTAAGATCTTTTTACAGAGCAGTATTCAACACCTGGATAGACTACACACTTTACAGTTTCAATACATCTTTGTAACTTCTTTTTGGGTTCTGCAGTTGATTCTATGTCTTCTCATGCTGTAAGAGATTCCAAGTCTTCTTATTGCATGAGAAATTTGATGCGCAACACACATTCCAAAAAAACATTTTTAAAAACTCCAGCCAACACATTCCTGTACCGTCTAAAAGTAGGAATTGCCCTTGCAGCGATTTCTTATTTCAGAAGATGTTTGTTTGAAGTAAATCTTCATATATAGTGTGTGTCCAAATGATACTTGGGGTCTTTGGCCAGTAAGTGTCAAACAAATACTGATGAAACTGTATCTGCTATACCTACAAATGAAACGAAAATTTTTAAAATAAATACTGGAAGTGGAGACTTGCCAGAAATAAATTCCCAGAACTCATATTCATATATTGCCCTCTCCCCTCCACGCCATGACAGCAGATGAACTGCTGGGGGGCAGGGAGGAGGCAGGGAATCAGCTGCAACCTTTTATGTCTTCCTTGCCTGACACTGTTTACAGTTGAGATCTAGTCTCTTCCTTCCTCTGCTTTCATGTTCAAGACTTTACACCCTATCAGGATTCAGCATTGGTCCCATCTGGGTGCTGAAAAGCAATCTAAATCTTGATATCCTCTTCCCTTTTAGTAATATGCATTAGCAGTGTACAGACAATAGAAAACTATGCAGCTCTGAAAGCTCACCAAGAGACTAGAGAGCACAAATTCCATTACAAGACACATTTTTTGAAGACTTGCACACATACAAACACAGAACAAACTAAGCTTTTAGTTATGCTCTATTTTGTATTGTTGTACTCCTTCCAGTGCTAAAAGCAGTCTGACTACAGCCTGTTAACAGACTCTTACACCCTCAAAAGTGGTACCAGAGCCCTTCTAAATCAGAAGACAATAACTGTTGGGGGGAAGAGAGCAACTACTGCCCTTTACTGGATTGTTCTTGTGTAGCACACTACAGAAAATACAAAAAAGCCTGCTTTTTGAGAGAAAAGATTTCGAAAATAACACATCTGTTCTTCCTGATCATCTCTACAATTGACTTGCTTTAATCATCACTACTTCTAAATTTCTCTTTCCAAATAATTTTTTTATACAACAAGAACAAAAGTTTCAGCAAAATGGAAAAGCTATGACTGGATACATTGTCCTGATCTTTACTGAGTGCAGGCAAACTGAATATTATCTGTTCTTATTTGCAGATGATTTACATCATCACACACCTTTTATAATGACCAAGAGCTACTGTGAAACATACACTGAAGGGAAAGCCAACAGAAGACCTCCAGTGTTAATCTAACAGACTGAAATTAAATGGACACACAACGTTTACTATCTAGTATTCGAATCCCAGCAATTTGGCTCAGCAATCTTTGTTGGTAAACAGGAGCTTCACCTGCCTTACCTCCACATCCAGCAACTAACCTACATGGATATGGATAAATATGGATATTTAACCTACAAAACCCCCTCAAACACCAAGAAAAATCTCATGCAAACAGTAAAAGGGTGGGAGATGGAACTAGTACTGAAAGTATATGCTTCTATCTTACAACTAGGTTACACAATTCCCAAGCACAGGCAGACCTGCCTTCCATATTTGTTTGCTGAACAGCCCAGAGATAATTGCATCCACCAGACAAGGACAGCAGCTGTTTTACCTACACTAAGTATAGCGATGGCACTAACCTAAAACCATGACACATGACTGTGTACTTTACAACACCATTACCTCTACATGGTAAGGTACAATAGTACTTTTATTTGTTATGCCTTATATAGCTTTACCTTTGCATGGTGTTTTCAATCATTCAACTATATGACTTGGTTGAACTAGCAGCTGCTTTATTTATTTTTCCACCTAGACTCATCTAACCTCTTTTAAAACATAGCAATGATTTGTATTTCCTTGTTGAGGATCCCATTATATCGCTTTACTTACATGCAGAAACATATCCCAGCACGTGGCCTTTACCACTTTAGTTATTTTTTGTCAGACTTACCACAGACATTGCCGCCTATCTTAACACGAACATAGCCGTCTATTCCCCAAGTAGGCCCCCAAGAGTTCTGTACAATCCAGTACGGGATACTACCTGGAAAAGACATTTTCATAAACAGATGACAACATGGGATTTGGGAAGCATAAAAAACCCCTTTGAACACTCTACAGAGTTCATTACCATTTTAATATCTCACAGCTTCTGATAGTTTGGTGATACGGTATAGTGAAACCTACTGCTGTTCACATAGAGGACAGAGCTAATATTCCAGTGTTGAACAGACTGGATATATCCTCTGCTAGCGTAAAGACACATATAGCCATGTTCTTGACTTTACAAGGAGAAGTCCCACAGAACTGAAGGAGCACAGACAAGAAGCATTCTTCTCCTGGGATCAGGCTGCACTCCCAGAACTGGTGAGACACCAAACAAAACAGCTGTCAAAAAACGACCCAGTCCTGGATTTTAATCACTTGCCCCAGAGGAGGCAAGCTTCAAATAAGAGAAGAAAGACAAAACCTTTAAGCTCAGTTGATGAAAACGCACCTGTTCTGTCAAAACCAGTGATAAGAACAGCATGATTTGCTCTTCCGCTGGAGCAGTGATATTGTATGATCCCACCAAGATAATCCTGCCAGCTAACCGCATCTACTGTTACAGCCAAAGGGCCCCACTTAACAAGCATCTTCATCATTTCTTCTTCTTGACCTCTGTGAAAGGAGTAATAAGGCCAAGTGACAAGTTAGGACACTAAAGCAATTTGAGGTGGTAATCTACTTGTTCAGTACGATTTAAAAAAAATCAAATAATTAAACCATTTCCTCTGAGTTCTACACACCACATAACATACATCAATGATTATACATCTCATATGCTACAACACAGTAATACAAATACAGGGCACACAGACAATGGTAAATGTACAGATCCAAAGATATGATGCTATTAAAAAGAAGCAGGTTTCTGGGTCGAGTCATGGGGCAACGGTGACCACTATGTACCATTTATACACCACTTATCAATTAAAAACAGCTTTGGACAAATCATTAGTCTATATTATTATTTCCCATTAGTTTATCAAACATACAGAAGTACCTCTTATAACACATAGAACAATATACCAAAATATGTATCTCAAACATAACAAAACACAGGACATTTCCACTGTCAGACATTTACCATTAGAATCCTCATACGGTTTTACTTATGTAATATACTGGAACAGGAAATCTTTATCACTGCATGATATGTACAACAACTAAATTTGGCAAATACAAACTAGCAAAGCTATAACTGATTTTAGTTACTTATATCTGGCAGTAATTCAATCCCTAAATCAAAATTATAGTTCTTGTATTTTAACTTCAGTATGCAGCTGTATTGTACTGATAAAAATTAGAAAGAAACTTTCTTGGTACAGAAACCTGAAAAGCTACCAATTGTCTTTACAAAATTCAGTTCACTACACTGTTTGTAAAGTCATGAACTGGAGGAGGATGTGGGTGGGTTTGTAAATGGATGAATACATCCCAATTTTTTCAGCAAATTCCAGTTCCTAATGGTAGGATTTACCATTTCTGATACTTAAGCAGTGCAATGTTCACAACATATATTAAAAACTGTCTCAATGTTCCAGTTTAAACATAGCAAATTTAACAGACCTGATTTCAAGACACAAACTTAAGCTTTCTAATATGAACAGGCTTCATGATGGCAGGGTTGAATGGATTCATTGTGGCAAGCCTAAACTCTCAAAAATGTTATGTATTAATTCTTATCCAGTACAAAGCTACAGAACTGATGCAATCAACATTATAACCTTTGGCTGGTCAATGCACGATTGGCTCTAGCTTACTCCACAGTTACTGAACGCAGAAGGAAAAGTACAGCAAATAAAAAGAATCAATAGTTGCTACCTGAAGTCATATGCAGCAAATCCTGTTATTGAAACTCCAAAATCTGAGTGACCAAAATAATGGCACAGTCCTGTCTGAGCTTTAAAAGCATAATCTGAATCTCTCACAAGTTTTACTTTAGTCTGCAAGAAGATAAATGAATGAAAATTTAATGCATTTGACTTTAACACTATGCAGCTCAAAACACACTGAAAATGACTCACTCCAAATTCAGTGCTCTTAGTGAGATTTAGAAATAAGAATGTCATGTTTGGAATAAGATATTTACTATCTCTAGTTTCCTTGTTTGTGGAGAAAGCTTCAGAAGGGATTCAGAAGTCTTTAAATAATGAACAAAATTTAAAAGGTATCTCTGGTTTAAACTAGCCTTATGAGCAACCTCATCAATTTCAAGACACAGATACTATGCATTCACTTAATGAATGACTATTCATTCTCTTTCAAATGACATTCGCACACAAAATTATCCTCTCATTGGGGCAGTTGAAGAACCATAAATATCCCAGGAACAATTATATAAAATACTAAAATTAAGTCCAATTCTGCTATTACCATCAAATCCTCATGCTAGTATACAATGTTTTATAATGGCTGCCACAGTACAAAGTCCAGTTACCAATCTACTGCATCAACCTTTTATACTTTTCTTATCTTCTGCAGTACAGTATGTTTATGACAGTGTCTTCTCCAGCCTAATTTATTTGTAGTCCCTCTGTTGCTGAGCAAGAGAAAATTTTGCTTCAGAGGAGTCCAGATGAATACACTTTTTCTTGAAATGCAAACTTAAACAAGTTATCTAGACTGTTATGAGCTAGGATTATATGAATCTTCAGGGGTAGAGTTACAGACTTTATTAAAAAGGACAATCAGGGGTGGGGGTGTGTTTAAACTTAAAAAAAATAAGGGATTCTTCTTATTTTCTTGTAACTCAAACTGTCGTCCTAGGGAGTGCTTTTTATTTCAAAGACATTAAAATGTTTCTGCTTATTATTAACACACATTCTGCATTTTTCATGAAAGTTAGGTACACTTAAGTATCTGCATTTTCATTGTTTTGGGTTGCAAGTGAAACAAACGTAAACCCAGTCAATTTTATTTCGAACTTCTCCACACTTATGCATGATTTTACAGTGTTTGCAACTGAAACCATAGAAATTTGAAAGCAGAAACCCTCAACGTTCTTCCTTTTGCCCAGATGCTGGTGCCTAAACTGGACACTCAAATCCACAAAATGACACATGGATAACTGGTTCCTCCTACACTGGTACTGTATGTCTGCAGTTCCAATTGAATTTAGTGGAAATAGTGTAGCTTTCAAGGAATGTTATTTTCAGCCCCTGTGGGTTGATTTGTTACATTCACAAGAACATATATGGACCATAAAGTTCCAATCAAGTTTCAATTCTGCTTGAACAAACTCTCTCGATTCCAGACTAAATAAATATGCGTACATACATACACACACATGTATACACATACATTAAAAAAAAAGTCAGATGAGCTGTACACTCCACCTTCCCCACCACTTTTTCCCAGTAAAATATAATGTTAATATGAAAGCTAAGGAAGGGTTTGAGATTCATTAAAAGTTTCAAACCTGGTTCAGCCAGCTCAAAGCACTAACAGTGGATCCTCCGCTGCAGCCGTAATTATTGTACGAACAGTCAATAACCTGCTGTACGCTGAGTTCTTCCAGGTTATTTCCTTTAATTGCATAGGCAGACTCTATACCACCCACAACACTAAAAGCCCAGCAGCCTCCACACTGGGAAGGGAAACATGGGAGAAAGACAAAGTCAGCTTTGTTTTAGAAGCCTGATATAAAAACTAAAAAAAAAGTCAAAATGGTATTCTAATGCTCTTCCTTTACTACATCACTCTTGAACCTCATTTTTAAGGCAATTAATACAGAAATGTAATCAGTCATTTAAAATACTGAACTGTTTTTTTCCCCTGTACTGGTCTCAAAGACAGAAATGCATTATGGGTGTCTTATTTTAAGGAATCCTGCATTGTGGTTGTCTTATTTTAAGGATTCCTTCCTGATTTATTTTTGCCTTTTAAGATAGGTCTGAGGATGCTTTTTACTGTGAAGTTATCTCCTTTCTTAAACAAGTATTGAGGCTCAGGATGAAATTATTTTTTAACCACATTAGTTAGAAAGTTTTTGAAAAGGACACACTTTAGGAGAGAGTCCACCACTTTCTACAGTCTGAACAATTTTATAGAAATAAATTACAGTTTAAGAAACTGTAAACTGAAAGTAAACTTAAAAAAATTCTTACACAGTAACTGAATCTATACTGCAGATCTAGGCTCTTTAAACTGTAGCATTTAAAACAGGAAGCAGAATTTATTCCTAGGCATGATCCAGGTTACACTATGTGAAGTACAGAAAGGAAAGACATCGAGGATTTAACAGCTTGTTTGTTTCTTACCAGTGACCATAACTGCTTTGGGATAAACTGTAATCATGTGGGGTCTGGTTATCTCCCTATCACGAATGCATCCTCTGAGATGTTCAGTGGTAAAGATACGGATGTTGGCCCGCCAAGGGCATTCAATCATGAGGGAAAACCACATCAAAGGCTCTATACCCATCCAGGTGAAATAGGGTAGGAGATCAGGCACTGAACTTACCTCAGTCTCTTCAGAAAAATACAAAAAACACCTGGTGCAAAATATTTGCAGACTTAGTTAACTAGATCAAAAAATGTATTACATGCAGTTTATAACTGCACAATTTCTAAATGCACAGATTTACATCTCATGCTTTTAAATCTAATCCACTTTTCATAAAATGCTATGTAACTTTGCATATGTTCAGCCAGCCATACTTGTGCCAGTGCTCCAAGGAGTCTTGAGGCAGTGCTGCGCCCTTCCAAAACCTTCACTGTGCTCTACAACAGACCTGCTAGAACTGTCTATGAGCAGTGCTTGAGAACCAGGAAAGGAAAACACCAGGACTTACTGTTTTCTGATTTCTCACTTCTGCAATGACTTTCTTGTCCCTCCAGTCAAACTTCTTTGGCAAAGGTTTTTCCCATCCCTTTGGCACTTTTCTGTATCTGGGAAGTTTGTGAGGTATGCTTCTTAAGTAAATAGCTAAACACAGAACACAAATATCTATAAATCTACTAACTAAAAAAACCTCAGAAGAAACTGTTTCACTAGAAGCCATAGAGGTAACTTTGATCTGTAGTTACAATGATGAGATTACATCTGATTCTCAAATCCATAGGAAATGCCTGTATTTTAAAATAATCATAATACTCCAGAATGAATGTAAATATTCCTACCATTCTAGAAAAAAAACACCCAGAAATATTCCATGTAGGGAATGGGGGTAAAAAGCATGAAGATTTACTAAAGCTGATCAATAACCATTCCATAAAACAAGCTTTGTTTGAAAATTTTCACAACATTTTACTTACTGGAAAAATATTACTTTTAGTCAGGTAAGAGGAGAATAACATAAAGATTCTGAAACACATGCAAATTGCTCGTTTTTTTACTAAAAAACCCCTGCTTAATTATTTAAAAATAAAACGGGTGTGAAATCCCCCAATGAATAGAACATATAACAGCAGACTTTAACAGCAAGAAGGGAAAATTAGGTTAGGTATCAGACAAATTTTCTTAGGGAAAAAAAGTTAAGCATGTCATATTGCTCCTGAAAGTCATAGCTATCATCATACAGCCACAGACCTGCAAGCACTGTTTGGATTGCAGTCAATTTTGTCTTGGGGTAGGGAACAGGAACTTAAGAGTACTCAAGAACCTTGTCTATCTTCCAATTTTAAAACTGTTGCAACTGAAGAAGCTTTAAGGCCCAGTGAGAAGAAAGGAGGAAGGGAACAATGGAGTAAATATATATACTAAATCATATTCAGGCTCTGGGCAATTCAACCTTGCAAGACCAGAGAAACATGAAGAGGATTTTGTATCCTTCAGAAGCACTTACAGTTTGGAACCAGACATTGTAAACTATCTGACTATCAGAACTGGAAGAATCTGTAAGTGTGAAAGACACAAGGTTCTGGGAAAGAATAAGAAAAATAACAGAAAAGGTATTAGCAGCAGCCAGAAAGTGTACCTTTGAACTCTTCAGGAAACAGGTGAGAGAACTGATTTATTCCATAGAAAGCAGTTGTATTATCTTTTGATGGTGAATTCAGTAATCTAATTCTTTCAGCACTTTGCTGAAGGGAAAATAAAAAAATAATTTGTGTACATTATTAAGGTAGCAGTAGTGACAAAACTGTAAGAACAGAAAAGGTTAGCAACAGTAAGCATGAACTTAAGATAACAAGACAGCAGTTCATCTCAGATTCATTGTGGATCCCCAGCAAACCAATATGAAACTCATTAGGCTAATTTCAGCTCTAACAAAGATACCAAAAAAGCATTTGTTAAATGCACTGAGGGTAAAAAATTGATATGAGACAGGCAAAACAGGCAAGTTGAGAACACATTGTGTCAAACTCATCTGATGCCCTTCTTTGAGAGCACAGCAAACCTTGTGGTTCAACGACACATAAAAATGTCTTCAGATAAGAGTTAATCTTATCTTGCTTTATGTCCTTATAAAGCAAAAGAACAGTATAATGGTCTAAAGATGTTAAAAAGCCTAACTTTAAATTATCAGGAATCCTAGATCTCTGAAAAACATGTTTTGGACCTACAAAAGCAAGACAATCTGGCACCCCCCTCCCCAACTTCTTCTGCCGACAAAGTTCAACATGAAATATAAAAAACTTAACGCCAACTTCTGTGTCTTCTATGAAGACTTCAGGGCACCCCCCCAGCAGAGGGCGGCTGCGGGGCACCGCCACCCGCGGTCTGACGGCCACAGGCGGCCAGCGACGCCGCCGGGACAGCAGCGACCCCCGCTGGCACCGCACTCCCGGCGCCGGCCCTCAGCCCCGGCACCGCCCGGTACACCGACACCCG